GAGANATATATATATATATATATATATATATATATATCGAGAATTATATATTGAAAAAGGAAAAAGGTCGAGTTGTAAATTTAAATTTCTATGCACGCAAGAAAAACAATTTTCCCAAGTTAATAAATTTACACAGAAAAATAATTTTAAACAGCTTTAGAAATCATCCAAGCTCTTGCCTTTTTTTCGTGTTTATTTTACTTACGATTCACGATCTTTTATTCATCTTTACATTTTTTTCTATGTTTTTTTTTTTTTAAATCTTTTCTCACTTCGACCGTCTCATCGTTGCTTTGAAATATCGATTTTTGCAAATTTTTAATAAATTCCCTAATCAATTTTCAATGATATATATTTTTTTTTTCATTTAAGCCTTGCGATATCAAGATTAATTTTTTATGCAGTACTTTATAACTCTGCAAAAATTATGATTATCGAGAAAAAGATGTAAAATTTAAGATGCATTGTACAATTTTTATTTTCACAAATTTTTCTAAATCGTTTAAAACATATAGTTTTATATATTTCCATTTGAAAATTTCAAACGATTTGAATAGAAATATTACGTATACGATAACGTAGAACGTGTTTTTTTTTTAAATATATACAAAAATAAACGAAGAATAAGTATTTTTATATTTAGTAAAAATTATTTATGCTTTACATCATTTTCCACTTTATTGCGATTCTTGTTGTTTCGCACGATTCATTTCAAATATACGTCGAATACATAATTATTAATCAAAAATAGAAAATTCTTTTCTTCATCTAAAAAAACCTCTTTCTTATCCCGTATCTAAATTTCTCTTCGACTGAGCGTGAAAAAAAAAAAAAATAATTTCCCGATGCACGTTCTCCAGTAGGGGGAAGTTTAGATTATACGGGATAAGACGGAGAACTCGGGAGTTTTAATAAGCGGTGGAAGTGGGTTTTAGTGGGTGATATCTTGAAATCTAAAATTCATTAAATCGAAACAGCACAAGGTGGAAAATTTGTAAGTGACGAGTACTCTGGTTGTTATAAAGAAGACAAGACATGTGCGCCGCGTCGTTTGGGAATAAAGCTCAACTTCTTAATTACGTTGCTTCAACACGCTTCAACTAAATTACCAGAAGAGACTACCCTTATGAAACTTATTCCTGAATAATTTAACGTTCAACGCGCTGTTTTCCAACCCCGAGATTCCTTCCTCTTTAATCTCTCCTATCTTTCTCGATCGAATATGGTAATTCGGTATTTTGGTAAAAAAAAAATTCCTACGCGCTCGATCTTTAATTTCAAGCAGCTAATACAAAATGTATGCAAAATGTATAAATTTATTATGTATATTTAAAGGAAGGAAAAAGTTTCAATTGTTAACATTTTCGACGAACATATGAGGAAAGTGCGACGAAAGCTTCGGTTCTCCAAAAAGGGATAACTTTGATATTTGATCGAGTGCGCGTTTTATTTATTTCATGCAATTGTTTTCAACGAGTAAAAGTCCCCATTAGAAACTGTGACGTTGCACCGTTTAGAGAAACCCAGTCAAAGTAGCAGCGGTTTGTATCAGTAATATTTAGTTACGCAAAGTAACCAATCAGATACACGTGCATTCGATTGAATTTCAAAGATACTTTTATGGGAAAATGGGAGTTGTCGAGCGCGAACAAGAACATGTTGTTCCATCGTTTCATCCGCTACGTTCATACAATCCAATTTCGTGAAAAAAGATATTTTTCTACGAATGAAAAAATTCCGAAACAAAATTCCAACATTTTTTATAAATTTTTATTCGTGACTCAACGATCGTCGCGGTTATGAGAAAAAAAAAAAAGAAAGAAAAAGGATAGATGAGAAAAAAATCGGATGGAATAAATTAATGAAAGATCGCGTATGGATCGAGTGTAGAGACAAGAAAAGCGAAACCTCGCCTCCCAGGGCGGCGATCGAAAGTTTGCGAGAACTTAAATCGAGATCCAGGAAGTTTTAAAATTAATTCTTATTGAGCTTTGAACCGACTCGTCGAACGCGACACGATTTCTTCACGGCCCACAACTTGCGTAATAACCTTTTGCACGCCAACTTTTCGTCACGGAGTATCTAATAAATATTAAATTCGAACGGTTCGTCGTCGAGCATAACGATATACAATATCGCCGTGCATTTATACCACGGGATAATAATAAATTATTATATATATATATATTATTTTTCACACTCTAAATCTCTCCCCCTTCCTTTCTTTTCTCCGATTCAGCTTAGAAAATATCAACGCGTCGAAATACGTCCGCCTTTTGTCTATTTTTTCACGTGAAATATACTTCTTTCCCCTTTGTTTCAGTGGATCTGCTTCAAATGTTGGAGTTCAACTTAACGGTTACGTTCCCTGCTGCATCTCTGCTCACGGTGCTTTTGGCCCTTGTTGGTGAGTTAATATTTTTATCCGTTTCGTGAAATTTTTAATTTTTCATTCTTACGGGGCAACGATATTCCATCAAAATCCATTCCATTATCCTTTTTAATCGAAACGAAATTTCGTTACATACAACGAATTCCATCGAGCAGAATATTCTATTATGATTCGTTAAAAAAAAAAAAAGAAATCTTTCCAAAAATATCTCTTCGAAATCCGCAGCCCGTTCGACACACGTATGCACACATATAAATATATATATATATATATATATTTATTAAATCGTAAGGGTGTAGAGGGAGGGTGGAAAATATTAAAGGCTTTTTACTAAATCAGAGCCCCTCTCGGTTTCGTTCCCTCGCCGATACGACTTGGGCTCCGTTACAAAGCTGATTGGCCGGGACGGTTAACCCAGGATTCTGCATAAATTTCTGATGAAGGCGCAACAGTTGGGTAACCCGCTCGGAGCCCATTTAGCAACGGTGGCGGCGTCGGTGGTTTCCCTACCCCACCGCGCCCGCCCATTTCCATTCCAAACCTGAATCTTCTCTTCACGCTTCGCATGTCCGTCATCCAATCCACCCTCCACGTATCCATCCGCAACGCTTTTCAAAATCCTACGAAAAATCGAGTATTTAATGGATTTCGAAACGATCCACGTTTCCTCGGATCGATTTGGCCGAGAAGAGTTTCACTTTCGATTTCACTCTTTTCAGGATGCTTTTCGAATGAGACGAAAATAGTTTAACCCTTTCGATTTCTCCGCCACGCCAAAAATGTGCTCGAGAAAGATCGCGTTTACGCCTCGCAATTCGAGTTGCTTGGTATTTATTGAAAAAAAAAAAAAAAAAATTGGTGATAAAAAAAAATATCGATGCTACGAAAGATACTCAAGATGCGCGATAACTTCACATATCGTACAATACGCGGCATCTTATGCAGTCGCTCGTAAAGAGCGAAAGAGTTGATTTATCCGCGACCTTTGTCCTTTTTGAAAAACCGCGTGAATTTATAATAACGAGCCGCGATTTCGAAATTCTCCGCCTCCTTTTGCTCGAGATCAATTTGAGCGGAGAGTTCGCTTTCACTTTTTCTGCACTTTGGATTGGGAGGGGGGAGGAACGTTGGTTTTCGATCGTTGGTGAGTCGAACGGTTTTGGATCGCTCGTACAGTCCGCGATAAAACACGGGAATACACTATGTGATATTTTTTCATTTAAAGAAAATGAATTCGTACGATCAGAGCCAGGGAAAGGAAGAAATTTGCTTCTTTAATCCTTTTCGTGTGAAATCGGTATCGGTTTTGCCTTTACACTTGATACAATAAATACGAAATCTCATCAGAATCGGAGGTGATCTCCTTGAAAAAAATATGGACAGCTATTTTAAGCTACGAGATTATTTGCGTATATATCGCGAAATGTCCGATTCCATCGATACATTTTATCGCGCGTAATAATCTCATAACGCTTGTTGCAAATAATACTTTCACCGAGCAAACAAAATAATCATCAACGTGTGGAATATCTGAACGCTCCGGTGACCACGAATTTAGCAAGCAATCATCCAATAACCGCAAGATAACGAATCAATATACGCGGATCAATACCAATTTTAATTCAAAATCGTATCATTTAATCCGTATTACATATCCCGCGACTTGAATTACCAAATTGTGAATTATCAATTATTTTATGAAACCGTCTTTGCCCCGCGTTTATATGATGTATACATATATTATATCGCAACGAGTAGTCGATACATCGGTCAATCTTCACTTGGAAGCGGTCAAGGTTCACTTGGCACGGGCTTAGAGTAGTTGGGCCACCAGTTGCTCGGGCCTGGTATCCGAGGAAAATGGCAACAGAAGTGGCAAATTTCCGGATTCGTGCCGTAAGGATCGAGTGCACTAGAGATTGTGTGTATATGGAGGGTTTATCAGTTGGATGTTGAAGAAGGAAAGGAAGCCTTAGGGAAGTTGTTATCTGGAGTAATGGGTTCCGGTTCCTGTGTCGCTTCCTGCCCTCCATCCGTCATCCTGCACCTCCCTCCCGCGAATACTTGTACGATTTCTCAGCTTTCCACGCGCGCATCCACCACCCTCTATCCTCCTATCCACGCCATATTTCCCTTCCTCCTCTCGTCCATTTCTCGCAAAAGAGAAATTCTTTCGTATCGTATATTTCTGCGAAAAAAAAGGGTTAGGTTTTATTATTTTCTAAACGAGAATTAATTTGTCGCGAAGTAAATAATCGTGATAAATTATCTTCTTCCACGTTATTGTTTCGTTGTCTCGTTGTTATCGTGTTCGAGAGGATAAAAAGAGAAGAAAGAAGAAACGAAACGTTTAAGATCATCATATCTGTGGAGGAATTACGATTTTGATACTCGAACGTGTCGTTTTAATTTAGCAACGATAAAGTAATTCTAAAAATACGATGAGATGTTGTTTCTTTCTGCGTCTTGTCCGTTCGAGGTTATATAATTCTCTCGATATTAAACGATCCTCTTCGAAGTTTCTTCTTTTTCTTTCTTTCTTTCTTTCTTTTTCTTTTTTTTTTTTTTTTTTTTTTTTCTTCGTTCGACGAAAGAAGTAATTTCCAGGCAATTCATTAACACAAAATATATACTTTCGTCTTTTTTCCTCTCCTTTGTGCCGTTTTCTGTATTAATCTTTCACGATTGTCCAACGCAAACGTTGAATATTTAATAATCAGCAAATAAAGTTCCTACAAGAATCGTCGTAATAATCAATCCTTCTTTCGTCCTCTTCTTCCCGAGATTCGTTTAAAACACACGTCCATTTAACGCTTGTTGGAAACGCAAAGTCGAAACTTTTCCTTTCACCTTTCACCTACCTTTTCCCATACAAACTGTTGTAGTCAATAGAAATATATTATATCAACTTTGCGAATTATCTTCATACAACGAGCCATCAATCTCATTACGAATTCAATTGTTCGAATTCATTCGAACAACAATCGACGATATTTATGCAAAATCAAATTTTTACGAAACTTGGAGATCAGCTTTATTCCTTCCAACAAATCCAATATTATATATTTGTCGTTTATAAAGAATTAAACATGTTTTTTTAAATCATATCCATAGTAATTACAAAAGTTTCGTGAAAAAGTGGAAGTTTCGGGTTAATTAACCACGATCGAAGTTTAAAAATTGAACTTTCACACGCGATCGACCGATCTCGCGTATCGCCCTCCCTAAAAATTTTCGTTCGTTCATGGTTGTTGGCGTACACGGATTCTCTCTTTCCCTCTGCCGTGTATCGGCGTGAAATTCACGTGAAATCGAGCACGCGTCGCGCGGCATTTCGCTTCGGGAACGACCACGACGAAGACGATTTTGCATAATGGAACGTCAAAGAACGGAGGCGCCCCCGCGCATCATTGACGCATGATCGACCGCCTAACACGCTGTAAACACATTTTCACAGCCACGGTCAGATCGTGTTGCACTCGCCGCTGTTTCGTTTATCTGCTTACGACCCCGTCGCCCGAATAACTTTTCCCTCCATCGGGGGTCGGGAAGGAGGGGTTGTTTTCCAGTCGCTAACGCGTGTTTCCTCGCTTTTGAGGGAGGGGGAGAGGTTGGTTTGCGCAACTGATTTCTCGTATACGTCGTCGTCGTCGCGTCTTGTACTTTTTTTTTTCTTTTTCATTTCTCAATCCATTTGGAATGGTAAAGATGCTTTCGAGTTGAAATATTCTTTAAATTGTGCTCTCGAAAAAGTTAAATTATATCCTTAAAATATTCTCTGAATTTTAAATTTGTGTTATCCGGTTTGGAGGAAAGAAGGTATTCATTTCTAGACCAACGATTCTTCCGAATAGGTATTTTTATCGTGTTTCAAATGGAAATATTCTTTATTTTTTTTTTGATTCGAAGAAAGATGAAGAGACAAGATAAATATTTTTCGTTCAAACGTTTCAAGTTGAAATATTCTTTTACACATAAAAAAAAAAAAAAGAACGAAATTTCGTATCCTCCTTCTCATCGTGGTCCAAAATTTCGACTCGAACGAAAATTCTACACATATATATATATATATATATATTTTGGCATCGATAAAAATTTCCTTCCGGAAGTGTGGATACAAGTAACGCATACTCGTACAACTTTTGATTCTCCGTGTAAATAATGTTAAATTACATCGAAGACAAACACGATCAAAGGAGTTAGAAACCGGGAGAAAACGAGCGTGGTGGTGCGTGTTTGCTTTATCCTGCGGAACACTCGTGCCGAGTATATTGTACATATGTTTCAACCTCTGTGAACACGAGCAGATCAATGACGCTTTGTATGTTGATTCAACTATCTAACCCTAACAACTTGTGCTCTGTAACTATTGCTCAACTCCAGATTCCATGCCGCATTTCCACCGGATGTAGAGAGATGAGATGATGCCGCATGGTTACACGTACTGGTACGTGTAGACGTCAAATTTGCTTTCAGAACCGTGTAGATATATTATATATCAGTTTCCACGACGAGTATGTTAACATTCTCCCTATGTTTATTCGTTATTTAAAATTTTCAAAGAATTTTTAATCGTTCGAACGGTAATAATATTTATCGTACTTCGTTCATATTCAATCATTTTGACGACGATCAAGTTAAACGATAATAAGACAAATCTCGCGTTAACAATAAAATTTACTCGTTTCTTCTATATATAAAAAATTTAAATAATATTAAATTCCAGAAGTGATTTAAGAAGAGAATCGGAATCGATTTAATTTGCGGATTTTTAGGGAGAAATACGTTTTCTGGGCCGAAATTTCAATTTGATCAGGGACAAGTGCGTCCAATCCCGGATTCCATCAAGCTGAAGCATGTTCAGTCAGCGGGAAATATTATGTCCATCAGATTCTAGGTATTCAACCTGTTCTGGTGGGTGGTATACGCACGAAATTAGCGTCGGCCAGGCTTTGTTCGACGCCGATGACACGTAAGCGATGGTCGTGCAGAGTCGACCACTGATTAACCACATT